CTTAAACGGGGAGAAATGGAGGGAATTTTGATGTTTTTAACCACTTTATCTCCCTCTCCTCCAAAAAGCGTGAGGATGATTAAAGCTGCTAAGTATTACCAATAAAATAAAGTAGAAACAAAAACATTTATCTGAACGGGACTATGAAGTAGAGGAATATACACGTTTTTATGACTCTTACATTGTATGACTTTCATTTTTATTTTTACATTTCTAAACATTTCATGATTGCAGTTACACTCATTTTCCTCTCTCTTCCGATGGATACGTTGTGTAAAGAACACTGTAAATTGAAAAAGGCATGGGGACGAATGACAAGTTTTACAGCCAAAACACCTTTTTATTGTTCTTTTACAGCTTAAAGTGTCTCTCTTGCCTGGACGTCTCGCTGTCCATCGTCCTTCATCCAGTCCAGTTCACTGTCCACACTTAAAGGGCCAGTGTTTGAATTTGCTTCCAAGTACCACCTCTCTCAAACGCAATGTTTTCTCCACAATGATCTTACAACTGTGCCGTCAGAGGAATATGCAACACGACACAAAAAAAAATTGTTTTTTTTTAATTAAAGTTATGAAAATCTGCTAATTTAGGAACATTATATTTTTACAATATTGCCCACCTCTACCCTGTCATTATTAGTTTGTACATAGTGGTGTTGATTGTTCATGTAAGATTTGCTTTCACACTTTAAAAAAAAATAAAAATAAAAAATCAAAGGTTTTTACAAAAAATATTTTAATGAGTAGTTGTATTTTATTAAAGTAAGAAAAAAAACATGTCTGGTTCACAGTATTGCAGTATGAAAATTGTGTCAGCCCTACAGAATCTTTCACCCTCAGGGCCTCCTGGTACATTCAGGCATTAAGGGCCCCCTTAACAAAGGTTTACCTAGGGCCCCAAAATGGCTAAGTCCGCCACTGAGACATGAGATGTTAGATTTAAATAATTATGAGTTACAGAAACAAAATGGAGCGCTCAAGTTCACTGTATTTGCTTGGACATGAGAAGCTGAGCTGGACTTAGGTTTTAGATTGACGTCTTGCCCAAAAAAAAAAAAAAAAAAAAACAACTCCCTGAGCTGCAACCATCGACGACTACTTTGCAAAAGAAATACGCTTGATGAAGTCTCCGAATGTGTCAAAATATTCATGAGGGTTCTCCATTGATTTGAGCACTATTATTATAAATAATTATTGTTTAAAAATGATAAATATTTAAAATATGCTGCAACTATTTGAGCCTTGATGTATGGATGCTATATACTGTATTTAAGACTTGTAAAATTTTCAAGTACCCTCAGGGGCACACACGTACACCCAATTGAGAACCAGTGACAATGCAGTTTTCCAACAAACGCATACAAAAATAAATAAAAAATTCCTCTTTCTCTCAAAATTCTGTGAAATTACAACAGGAAATTACGACCACCGCCCCTTTAAATACCTCCAAACTTGAACCAACGACATTTTTAACTTGTGTTGATTTTATGAGCCAGATGTCAAAGACAAATCTCATTTCATTAAATGTTATGAACAATAAAGTTGAATTGATTGATTGACTATCCTGCGCAGTCACAGCCCAATGTGGCACTACTTTAAGGGTTGCTTGTTAATGTTTACACTCCAGTTCCCCAAAACTGGGGGCAATCAAAAACTATCTACAACAGGTAAGATATTTATTGTTCATAACGTTTCCAGAGGATCCCACTTCAGAGGATCCCACTTCAAAAGGTCTGCACCGTCACTTTGCGCAAACGTCTCGCTGTATTTTGCAAATAAATCACTAGATAGAATCGTCATTACTTTTCATTTGAACTCTATGACTTTATTTAATTTTAAAAAGACATTTAAACGTTTTAACAAGACATGAACTTTTTAGACAAACACAACAAAACGCAAAGAACAAAGGAGACAATTTCCAGTTTATTTACTAAGTTGTCTTGATTTCGCCGCATGGTGACACTTTGCAGGTTTCATCGCCGCAAAAGTGTATATTAAAAAATATATTATAACGTGTGAAGCTTACTCATCTTCTGCGGCGCTCAGCTCTGAGGCCATGAAGTGGAGCAGGATTCAAAGACCTCCCCCCCCTCCCTCCACCTGCAGCACCTCCATCATCGTCAGGCTAACATGTGGGGGAGCGTCTCCATCACATCAGACACATCAAAGTGGCTCCGGGTCCCTGAGGAGGAGAACAGGATGGAAGGAGGGAGGGGATGTGACAGGAGACGCGTTAAAATTCAAGGAAAGCAGATTTGTGCAAATGTAACCTGCAGGAATTCTCAGTTATGCAAGCGAATAGACTTCCTGACCTAAAAAAGAAAAAAGCAATAAAAGCGACTGGAATATTAAAATGTTAAATGATTTGTCAGCTGCTTTGTGAACTTTGATCATTTAAGGATGATAGAAAGAAGTCAAAGGAGCGCTTGCTCTTCTACAGCACAATGTTTCCTGTTTAACACCTTATTTTATTATCTCACCTCCTCGTTACGAAGTAAAACATTTTGGCAACTACTTACAACAAATCTAACTGGGTGCCATCTACATTCTTAAAAGTCAAGACGGATCTTTTTCCTCTTAGCCATAATATTAAACTGAGACTGCACATAAGGTCATTAGATTAAGTTCTCAAATCTGGATTATTGTGAGGTTAATCTTAATTGGATCTAAAAAAATAAAATAAACTTTTATTAGTTTTTCAGCTGCCCTTTTAATTTACCCTAATTAGTTTTTATGACAGCGGCTCGGCTTCGTATCAATTTGAAATCTGACCTTTTACTTCAAACAAAACGCAAATCAATCTACTAGAAACACGACAAACATATTAAAATGTTAAGTTTTTATTTTATTGTATCCAAATTTTATTAGAAAAACATCTCCTGAGATCTGACCAAGGCAGAACAAGGAACTCAGAGTGCAGGTTTTAAATGCATCATATTCTAAAGAGATGAGCACAAGTTTACTGAAAACACTAATCTAAGACAATAATACGCAACGAGGCTACAGAGACACTGCGCTGTCTTATAATTTTGGCCATAATACTTAAACTAGGCATGCAATCTGATTATGAATACAATTTAAACATTTTAGGCTTTTGAATATTTGTTGCAAACATTTTCTTAAAACCAATTAGAAATTATCAAGTGTTTGCAATTTCTTAGCAATAGTATTGTTGCAAATAAAGTGCATTTAATCTAAATGTTTTAGCTCGCAAATGCAAAAATATTTGGACTTCATCACTAATTTACACTTCAGGATTAATACAATGTTCAGTCAGGTCATCTGGACGGTTTCTTTTCTTTGCGCTGAGACGTTTCGTTCTTCATCCAAAGGACTTCCTCAATCTGAGAAGCCGCCAAACAAAACTGATTCCCACAAACAGCACACTCCATAGTGGGAAAATACCAGTTTGTTGGTGTCTTCTCAGATTGAGGAAGTTCCTTGGATGCAGGACGAAACGTTTCAGCTAGGCCTGTCGCGATAAACACTAAATCAATTCATCGCATGATAAATGAAAATTATCAACCTCATTTTCATTTATCGGCTTTATCGTTTCTTCGCGTCTCTCTCTCTACTGAAGACACTGGATGACAAAAAGTTCCAACTCCGGTGCTCTTCACTGACCCCTCACTTTCTCTTTAAAATCTGTTTTAACCATCAAAAATCGCGTTTTTGGATCGTTAAAAGCAGCTAAGAAGCTAAGCTATGAGCTAAGCTAACAAGTCGATCTCGGGGGAAAATCTTGTCTTGTCAAAGCTCCAAAATTCACGGTTGAAACCCGTGCCTTTGTGTAAAAAATTGTTTTTCTCTGCAAAAAGAAGCTGAGAACTTGTTTACCGTTTTTTTTTTTTATTGAAAGCTTTGTGTGAAAAATGCTATGCTAAAGAGCTCAAACCACACCAAGCGTCCACCATTTTGCGAACCAAAAAACAGGAAGAGAGAGCCCATGTCACATCAAGGGGCCTCCCTCCCATTTTCGTAGACACGCTACTCGCTCCCTCTCTATCCATCCTTTGGTTCAAACTGTCTTATACTGCCATCCAGTGGTCAAAAAAGGTACTACACTCAAAACAAATTAAACATTTCTTCTTAAATTTGACAATTACGAATTATCGTCAAATTTCAAACAATATTATTGTTTATCGCAATAATTTCTGAGACAATTAATTGCCCAGCAAAATTTGTTATCGTGACAGGCCTAGTACCAGCACAAAAAAAGAAACGGTCCAGATGACCTGACTGAACAGTTGGATTTTATACCTGGATTATTGAGCATGAAGTTTGGTACTTCAGGATGATTATCTAGACTGAGAGCAGGATTTATGTTGGAGGACTTCTACCTTGAAGTTAAAAATAGTGCTTTAAGAAAAGTTAACGTTTAAATATAATCCTAAATTTAATCTTTCTGCGATAGCCGCGTGGTTATTTTTTTGATAGTCCAAGTTTGAGCCACCTAATTCAACATTTAGGGCAGCGATCATATGAAAGAAAACAACAACACACTTTTCGAACTCAGATTTTTATTAATCAGTTCAAGGAATGAAAACTGAAGACGAATATCTTCATCGCTTCCAGATTTAAACTCTTCTGCGTTGGCGTCGTAAGATGGAGGGCGGGGAGGGGATTACACCTCTCCAATTTTCCCAGGGTTGCAGCGTTCTTCTTTCAACAACGTAAACGAGTTGTAAAACTATCACTGAAGACGGACTTCATGAGACAAAAATCGCTTCACAGAAAGTACAATCCGGGTTGGAAACAATAAAAAATGTTTCTTCCAATATATTATTGTAAAAGCAACAAATAATCTAGAACATACACTCGGATTATCATACCCAAATTTAACTGATTTTATTTTTTTATTTTTTTTTACCAAAAACTACTGCTGATGTAGAAGAAAAGCAGTCAAAACTGCTCGACATTGAACTAAATTACAGAAGAAACATTTCAACAACTACATTCTATTACTTTTTGTAGCAAAAATAACTTTTCGATCTGAACTGGTGGAAAAGAAGGAAAAAAAAAAAAAAGAGGAAAGGTCTGCGAATATTTAACGTACATTAGACTGCGTGCACTCACTCTGACCTCAGTTAAACTGATGCTCCGTAACATATTTTAATATTCAATGCAACGCTTCATTAGTGGAGCAAATAACAGAAAAAGTGATATATATATGTATATATATCCACCTTTGATTTTCTTTAATCTTCTGTCTTCTCTCTTCAGCTCGGCAGTCGTCTCGGAGCCTCCGTGTTTTCTGCTCACTTCCGGTACGCGTCTCCTTCAGGTATTCTTGTTGGACTGTCCTCTGATGCCCACCCAGAGGCTTCACGGGGCTGCTGGTGGGGCCACCGTCTGGCAGGGGATTTAAGAGCGTTCTGTCAGTACCGCGGTGGCAGAAAGGGTCTTTTCGGAGGAAACATCGGACCCCTTATTCTTGGACCTGGCCGCTTGCCTCTGAACCTCAGTTCAGGACCATGGAAATGAGAGAAAGGAGCACGAGGTGGTCCTCTGGGGTGTGGGAGGAGTGCCGGATGAGGGGGGCGATGTGGAGGCCGCGGACCAGGATGACGGATTTCACGAGGAGGCGGTGGTCGCCTCGGTGCGTAGTTAGGAGGACGAGGAGGAGGAAGGCTGTGCCGCTGATAGTCGCGGGCGAAGAGCTGGTCCCCCGAGGGCGGGGGACTGAGACGCCCTCGGACTCTTGGGTACGGGTGTGGAGGACTTACTGGTCTGAAATATGGATCGTCTGGGGGGTAGTGGGGATCGTCGTAAGGGAACTGGGCATCGCGCTGTCTGGGCTCGTCATGGTAACGCCCTAGGTCCTCCTGGTACCGCAGTTCGTTTGGGTGGGGGCGTTGTGGGTCATGGAATGAATCGTCAGGATGCAGCGTGTGCTGATGGTCATAAACTACCATCCCACTGATGATGCTGTCCCCAGTGTTCCCAAACACCCCCTCTACATTCGTGCTGGGCATAGGCTCCTGCTCTGGGGGGTTCATCATACCACCGGCCGAGGGCAAAGGAAAATCAAAAGCAGATGGAGGGGGTGGTAACTTTGGGACAGGAGGAAGGGCATTTTTAAAGAAGGAGGTTGCAGTGGGCCCCTGCTGGGAGACTAACTCTTGTGGTTCCTGCATTTGCTCTGTTTGGTATGGATAAAGTCCTGATGTGTTGTTTTCTCCAGCCCCTCCAGGCGCTAACACGTTGTAGCCGCCGGGCTGCTGAGAGCTCCCCCTCGGGTAACCATCACCAAACCAACTCTGTTCATTTCCTTCTTTAAAGCTCTCAACTGTCTGTGCGCCACTGGCACTGCCTGCAGCTCTGTCTCTAGATACAGGCCCCCCTGTCTGCACAGGGTAATGTGCAACAGGTGCCGTAACCCCACCCTCCGATAAATCCTGTTTGCCGTACGGGAACGAGTGGAAGACCTGCCCGTTCTGAGACACACTTGGCAGCGAGTGAGCTTGACGAGGGGGACTGTTAGGAATCGGCTGCGCGCTGTTCTCAAATAACCCAGAAGCTGCTTTGACAGTTTCACCAACAGTTAACTGGTTTGTGCTGGGCGTTAACGGGACCACTGGCTTGTCCATGATCTCGTCTTGAGTTGGGGTCCCTCCTCCTTCGTCCCTAACTGGGGTCCCATCTTGGTTGTCTGCGCCAGCTACTGGGCTAAAATTACTCCGTTCTGGCGCTGGGTTTGCAGAAAAATTCAAGTCAGGTGAACTGAAGGCTGGGTTTCCGTGCAGAAAGTTGTGGATTTTAGACTCTAAACTAACAGAGGAATAAGATGGTTCTGGTTCTGTAGCCAGGTCCATGTCCATGTCCCTATGAAGAGCTTGGACCAGGGCAGAAGCTTTGTTGGAAGTTTCGGGAGCGGCTGGAGTCCCCGAGCTCTGCTGTACAGCTGGGTTTGATGAAGGCACAGGTGCTACAAGGGAGGGAGACATGCTCCGAGAGGGAGCTTCTGATGAAGATGTGGATAAGGGAGAGGGGGTAGTGTTGTCTGCAGTGGGGGCATCTGGGACCACATCAGGTGACTGGCTAGAAGTGACGCCTAAATATAAAAACAAAACATGCAAGAGTATTTAAAGCATGTGTGCTGTTTTTATTGTAAATCTACAGTAAGCTTTTAAAACGATAAAAAATAATCCATTTGCTCACCTTTAACGCTGCTGTGTCCCTGAACTTTGGACAGAGCACTGAGGAGGTCAGCAGGACTCATATCCACCTTGGAGAGGAGGCTAATTAAAGAACTGGCATCATGTAGGGCCAAAGGAGCAGCAGGTTTGGGCTTCTCAGAGCAAATAATGGGTGAAGCTGTAGGAGGACTCTCCATCACAAGCCCTGCAAAACAGAACCAGACACGTATCCCATGAATCCACCAAGATCCCAGCAGCTCTCTGAGCACACGTCGCGAAGACGTGAGCGCTGTGAGGTCAGGATTAGCGTGCTCACCCGTGTTCTTCACGACTGGGTTGATGCTGCTGAGGATGGAGCTAATTTTGTCCATGTCAACATTCTCTATGGCGGCTGCAGGAAGAGCTGCACAAGGGGCGACCTGAGGGACAACTGGCTCTGTCGCTAGTAATGGTTCAGTTGTTGCAGGAACTGGAGTGGGCTCCTCTGGTTCGTGAACGGGTTCGACCGACTCCTCGACTGGAATGAGAAACAGAAAAGTGAGAAAAAAAAAGTTCAGATACAAATAAGTCACAGTCAGTGTTTATCTGCAACAGCGGCTGACCTATGATACCGCCGCTGTCCGTTTCCTCGTCAGAGAGCTCCATGTCCTCCACTTCACGATTGTCATTTACTCCAAGAGCGTCTGCCGGTTTAGGTGATCCTCCTGGGGAGGACAGGGGGCTTGGGGCTGGTGGTTCTGTATCATCATCCATAGCAGAACCGTCCAGTTCTGGATCGGGATGGGCCAGCTCCATATCGTGAAAAGGGGACTCGGAGCCGGTTGGAGAAGGTGCGTCTGCAGAAGGCGAGGGGATGGGTGACTCGTCCAGGTCCGGTAAGGTGGCTTTCAGGGCGTCCAGCTTACGTTTGAGGTGGGACACCCGGTTTGCAAACGTTTGGTAAGCCTGAAGAGAATACAAAGGTCAGCATCTTTGCTTGAAAAGGTTCGAAAGCTAACTTTAAGCTAAATAAAAAGCACGAAACACTTCGTCTGTGTCTGAGATGCTGACTCGCTACACGGAGCGCTTCTGTATTTTGAACAATACAGGAGCGTACTTCATAATTATACGCAGTATTCTCTTCAGGGGTCGCATAAATAAACACCATCGAGCTGGAACGCCCGTCAGAATCTGACGTGACGGACATCATCCGTCTCCATCACGCGGAGATAAAAAAGTTATTTACGCTCATGAGTTGCATGTTTTTGTTTCTTCCTTTTTTTTATCCACAAGCATGAACTACAACCTTCAATATATTAAAACCTGCCAAATATTTTTGTACAGATCAACTGATTTTAAAGTTGCGAGCAAATAACAAAAAACAGCCTCACAACAATACAACTTGAAATGTAGCTCACTGTTCACTGTGAATTACAACACATTTATTAAAATGTTTCTTTTTTTTTTTACTTAAATGTTTTATTTACAGGATCAGAAGATTTTTCTAATGTTTCCTCAACTCAGACAGCAGGAGACAAGACTTTATATTAAAGGCGTCTGCTCAGGCTGCAATGCATTGTGGTCTATTTCCACTGGAGCAGCGTACAAATTCTGTGCACTACTTTTACTGGAACACAAAACCAGATTCTATAAACTATATAGTAGATTAAAAACATTACTTAAATACTCAAAACACTACGAAATGGCTGACTCGAAATGTAGTGCACCATAAAGGAAGTGGACAACCTTTGATTTAATTGCAGTTTTAAAGGCAATGATTTGTAAGTCATGTAAAACCAAAATCTGACATATAAAAATTCAAATCCCTTCGTATATTATTGGAATTTTCATTTTTACGGTTTCTGACAATTATATGCTCCGTTTCATTCTGTGGCCACCTTGGTTTTATGTCTTTTTTTTTTTTGTGGAGGTTCCAGTTGTTTTATATAGACGCTGCACCGAGAAGCAGATAGCTCGACTCCTCTATAAGGTCACAAAAAAGGTTAAATCACGTCATCTTGACAAGTTTCTTTTTCAAGTTTCTTCTTTCTCCCTTAAAGAAACTTGTCCAGATGACACGATTTAACCGTTTTTGTGAATTATATACTGCATTGAGCTTACAAACCTTTTTCTGTTCCTCTATAAACTTCCAAACTGAACCCGTTCTGAACTCGCAGGTAAGATACTAACTGCTCATAGCTATTCTACTTAAACTAACCTCACTGGAGCTGTGGGAAAATAAACGTCCTTATATTCGAGACTTCAAATAAAAACAAATGTAAGATTTAATTCTTGAAATACTCACGTTTGCAACAATTTTGACCTCTTTGTACTGCATTTCGTAAAAGATATCTGCATTGCTGAGCGCCTCCAGGAGTTGGGGGCCCGTTTTGGATTGTTGCTCAAAGAACTTTACAAACTCCTGCAGCTGAGCGCTTCCCTCCTCGAAGTCCCTGGAGAACTTCTTCCCTCCTGCTTTATCTGGAAGAGTGGAGAATGTGGGCATGAATTTGAAAGGAGAAACCGAAAAGCAGAGCTAGAAAGATTGTTTTGCACCAAGTTAGACTGTGCAACAGTGAAAAGGTGACCTAGTTAGGCACCTTTGAGCTTCTTGAGAGCATCCGAACTGAAGATGTCAACCCTCATAGCAGCCAGCTGTTTCTCTCTGAGATCAACCTCCTCCAGAGATCTCTTGTACTTGGACAGTTGTTCCAAAAACGCCTGCGGCTAAAGCAGAAAATGGGGTTCAGTCGCCGCAATGTTTGAGCTAAAAGATTCAAAACACGCTTGCTAAATGGCAAGCTGGGATGTATTTAAATTCTTACCACAAACTCAGCCACAATCTTGGACCGCAGATCTGCTTTAGACTCAACTGGAGCTTTAAATACATAAGAATCAGCAAATCACTAAAACTGAAACAATAATCCTCAAATGTATTTGTAGAGCAGCATACCATAAAGAGTTAGTTTTAAAATAAACCCCGAAGACAGAGAATAGAACAGTAAACCTTAAATGATGACATTAAATCGAGTAAAAATGTTAAGAATGAGAGCGGCACTCACTTCTCTGCTCCATGGGTGTCTCAGGAGGGGACTCTTCTTTAGCTAAAGTGTTCCTAAGCTCAGTAATGAGCATCCCTGAATACACACCCCTCTCCTCCCAGATGGACAGAATCCTCTCCACTGATTTGATCATATTGAAGTCGCCCTCACTGCTAAAAAATGTTTTTTTAAAAATGAAACAAGTTTTATTAATGCACAAACAATGCCTCAAAACCAAACAAATACAGCGCCAAATGAAGAGGTAATTATTTGAGCTGCTTTCATTGGTAAACCTTAGAGATGCTCAGATTATGCAGACCCAAGTCTGGCCTGCTTTGAAGTGTAAACTATGGTGGCCCTGAGGTGTAAATGAACATTTGAAAAAATATATATATATATATTGCATTTCAAAAAACAAAATCAAATTTGAAAAACACAAGCAAAACAAAAAAAACCACAACGTTTGAAAAAACGGAATTACATTTGAACCAAATGGAATTACATTATGCCAAAGCGGAAGTGGCCAAAGCGGAAGTGGCCAAAGCGGAAGTGGCCAAAGCAGAATTGGCCAAAGCGGAAGTGGCCGGAATCATATTTTTAAAAAACGGAATTACATTTGAAAAACTAAATAACATTAATTCCGTGTTTTTCAAATGTAATTCAGTTCTTTCAAATGTAATTCCGTTTTTTTAAATATGATTCCGGCCACTTCCACTTTGGCCACTTCCGCTTTGGCTACTTCCACTTTGGCTTAATGTAATTCCCTTTTGTTCAAATGTAATTCCGTTGTTTCAAATGTTGTGTTTTTATGTTTTTTCCAAATTTAATTTTGTTTTTTTGAAATGTAATTCCGCTTTTCTCAAATGTGATTCTTTAATTTTTATCCAAATGTGACTCTTTATTTTTTAGATTTTTAGCCACTTCCGCTTTGACCACTTCCGCTTAATGTAATTTCATGTTTTCAAGTGTAATTCTATTTTTTTCAAATGAAATTCCGTTTTTTCAAATGTGATTCTGGCCACTTCCGCTTTGGTCACTTCTGCTTGGGCTACTTCCGCTTTGGCTTAATGTAATTCTGTTTTGGTCAAATGTAATTCCGTTTTTTTCAAATGTTGTTGTGCTTTTGTTGTGTTTTTGTCTAATTTAATTTTGTTTTTTGAAATGTAATTCTGTTTTTTCAAATGCTCATTTACGCCTCAGGGCCACCATATTAAACTTAAACTTAAGCAGTGATTTTGCCAGCACGTTCAATGATTCAAAATACTAGTAAGTGAAGGGAAATCAATGCATAATATGCAGAAAATTTCTTAATAAGATGGACAGCTGTAGTAAATACTGTGGAGGATTAGTTGTGTGGTTTGAACTCTATCAAACCAAAAACAAGTGCTTGGAAGGAAAATCTGTGCATGAAGTCCAAAGTTAAGGCTGTGGTCATTCTCAAATATCCCCACTCCAGAATATCATCACGTTTCATCTCCCCGCCCCATCAGCCGAACCATAACTCCACTTACTTGACCAGTAAGAAGGCGTCTGGTAGCACTTCAGCAAACGCCGTCCGGTAAACGATGGCGTTTCTCCTTTTGCAGTTTTGAATGACATCATTGGCGACGTACAACAGATTGAGCCTGTGGGAGGTGTCAGCTGCAGAGGAGAAAAGAACAAATAAGCAGTGTATGCAATACATTTACACGGTTTTTAAACTATTTCTCTACGTTTCTGTGGTTTTAACGGCACCAATCAGCCATTATTATCAAATCCAACCTTAAAAAAAAAGAAACCATAAACATGTCTTTAAAAAAGGCTACGCACAGTCAGTTTGTGAAAAAATATTACAAGCAAATCATTTAAAAGTGAAAGTAAATACAGGACATAGAGGTTAGATGTTAATCTTTTAAATGACTAATAATTAAATAAATGGTGCACATTCAATCAATAAAATAATCAATCAGCAACTTTGCAAATATCAGTTTGTTTTTAGCTTAAACATTTTGTAACGATGTTTCCTCACTTCACAGAATAACAACAAACCCTTTCTGCAAGCCTCACTCCTGCAGAATTCACACCATTCACTCAACAATCTGTTACACGACATCCTTAAATAACAAAAATATATATGAACCAAAACTGAAAATCCAAAACAGTTGAACAGGAAACAGTTCACAAATTCACTGTGACCAAAGCAAAACACATCGTACGTTCACTGGTTATATCAGCCACCAAAAACCAAAGCCCAAATTTGGCTTTAACATATAAGTTAGTATTAATTTACAGCACCTAATTAATATGTCATTATTTTTGAGCTGTTCATTGTGAGATGAGTGGAAAACCTCATACATCGACTCAAATGGAGCACTCTTTGTTAACCTACTGTTATTTTATAGTTTCTTGTACGTTTTACTCTATAATAACTTAAAAATAAAATTTATTATGACGCATTTCCTTACAGACTTAAAGCGCAGCTGTTGAGAATGGTTTAAATCCTCCTGCACGCCGTCACTAAGCGACTTTACTCGTCCCCTCCGAGACAAAATATGCATTTTTGGTAGAACGATGATATCTGGGACATTTATTAAATCTCCAACAGAACATTTTGAGACTGTTCTCTGTCAAAACATGCACACTCAGATATTACAAAGACACCTGAGCAAACGCTGACATAATAATGTTCCTCATTTTAGTCATTAACAAAAAAACACATAGGCCCATTTTAAAATCAGTACCAACATAAAATGGCATGTGAAGAAGCTAACCTGACAGAAAAGTGACTTTTTTGTTGTACTAATCACAAAAATACCTGGCAATAACATGTCTCCAGATTTCTAAATAAAAATAAAGCTGTGGTTCAACTCCAACAATAAACATCTTCACAATTAAATAAAAAAAAATAAAAAAAAATCACAGTGAAGTAATGTTACATAATGAAATCAGACATCAACAGGGATAAAGAAAATGCTTTTCAACAGACAAATCAGCATATTTTCTCAAATACACAGCAAGTTTTGCCTTATTTCAGATAAATATGAATACATATATCAGTTTGATTGAGAGTTAAATAAGTGATCATTCCTGAATATATTGAGACAAGAAAAAATATGCAACCCTGTGACCAGAATAGGAAGACGCGGGTAAAGATAATGGATGGATGGAAAATATCCAGTATGAACAATTAGTATTTAAGGATAAGTCTAACTTGTTATTTTGAGTGTTAAATATAATAAATATTGATTTGTTGTAAAATAAACTACCGGTAATTAATTACGTAATAAAAGGATGGCAGTAACATTTAAATGGAAAATATAGAGTTATGCAAACTACTGGAAGTTTAACTGTGTAATAAATAACCTGAATAAATCAGTAAATAACCAGACCGAGGCATTCCTCTATTTAAGATGGATAATTTGACGCATTTATGTGTTTGCTTCATGTATCTGCATCACAAACATTTAACTAACATCAATGGAAACGTTGCAGACCTGATAATCTAATTCACAGGGAGGAGGAATGACAGGAAATGATTTTTATAAATCTCCTTCAAGAAGGCAGTTCAGCACAAAGTTTGGTTAAATATCTTATTTGTGCAAACAGAATGGGAAGTATTGCCAAGAAAAGCATACAAGCAGTCCAAGAACACTGAAAAAGCTCAAAAGCAGCAAAAAGAATGAGCATGTGGGACAAACAAAGCCCAACACAACAGCTATAAAGAAGAAACTGTTAACTGTTATCCAGATGAAAGACTTGAAACATTAGAAAGCTTGTAGGTTAACTTAAATTAATGACAAAAAAAACTATTTTTATGTCATCCGAATGAACATTATTGGAGAGTATTTTTCAAACCCTAATCCTGAAACTTACTGACAGATTAGTCATCAAGTAAAAGTCAGGATCTCAGGTTGTGAACTCAAGATAAAAGCAGTAATTACCTATAAGCTAAACTCAAATAATTAAAAAAGCACAACTTTCGAGGTTATTTTAGTCAGACAATGTGACACAAGCTCAAGTAAAACAACAAAGAATTAAGACAAAACTCTGGATTTTAAAGTGGCCCCTCCAATGGAAAATAATTCATTTACTTTTAATAAATTACTATACAATCAAGCTTTTTTAAAGAAACATCTTGACTAATGATCTGTTTTCAGTCTTTCTTACACACATCAGGAGGCAAGAATCTGAAACACAGGGACAATAATGGTTTTCCTCATGATCTCATGAATTAAAAGAAAATTTAATTACCAGCCCCGTTTTCAACAATACTTTCTTAAACTAAACAACAGGTCATTCTTAATTATAATCTTAAAATATGCAGCCCAAAGTAAAGTAGGTTGTATCAAATAAAATACATATTTCCATCCTTTCCTTGATGCCTACTACAGATAATGTCTGGATTTTTTTAAAGTACAGTAAAACAATAAATATATTAAAATACACTGCCTGGCCAAAAAAAAAAAGTCATCATCTGGATTTAACTAAGCAAATAGGTACAAGCCTCCTGTTGGATAATTACTGCATGGGTGATTATCTTTCAGCTGGCAACAAGTTGTTTAACCTCAACTGGTGCAATGAGTTGCTTCTCATTTCAACCATGTTGAAAGACACACGTGGTCGTGGAAAAGATGTTGTTCTGTTTGAGAAGGGTCAAATCATTGGCATCAAGCAGAGAAAACATCTAAGGAGATGGAAGAAACTACTAAAACTGGATTAAGAACTGTCCAATGCATTTTTAAAAACTGGAAGGATAGTAGGGACCCATCGTCTTCGAGGAAGAAATGTGGCCGGAAAAAAATCCTGAATGATCGTGATCGGTGATCACTTAAACGTTTGGTGAAATCAAATGGAAGAAAAACAACAGTAGCACTCAGAGCTATGTTTAATAGTGAAAGTAAGAGCATTTCCACACGCACAATGTGAAGGGAGCTCAAGGGATTGGGACTGAACAGCTGTGTAGCCTTAAGAAAACCACTAACCAGTGAGGCTAACTGGAAGAAGAAGAAAAAAAGGCTTCAATTTGCTAGTGAGCATAAAGATTGGACTCTGGAGCAATGGAAGAAGGTCATGTGATCTGATGAGTCCAGATTTACCCTGTTCCAGAATGATGGGTGCATCAGGGTAAGAAGAGAGGCAGGTGACGTGATGCACCCATCATGCCTAGTGTCTAGTCATCAATATAAGATTTTGGTGAAAAATTAATGCAACACTGGATGGAAATGGATCTTGTGACATTGCAGAAGCTTATCGAAACAATGCCACAGAGAATGCACGCTGTAATCAATGCTGAAGGCGGTCCAACGAAATATTAGCGTAACATTTTTTTTGGCCAGGCAGTGTATCATGCATTAATATTTGGTGATGCATTTCCAATGTGGAAATTAGTAGATAGCATAAAAGCAATACTTAAACAACTTAAAATGAAAGTTTTTACATATAATATTTCAGATTTCTAATTTTACTTTGAATATTTCAGATCTCTTTTTTTTTTCCAGTCACTTAGTTTTATTCCAAAATATGTTTGATAGGCATGAAAAATACTTTTTGAGACAATCAGGCAGTCTATTAGCTGAAAACTCACATCTTGAAATACTGTGTGTAGTAAGGATTTGGGAATACTGGACAAGTGTGGAAGGCTCTGTCTTTTCAAGTGAAAAGAAACTAGTATTCATTTACTACAGTAAATAGGACAAAAGCAAAAAATAAAAAAAGGACCAGATCTTTCATCTTGGAAGCAAAGGCAAAATCTACATAAGATTGTGCATTTTAAATGTGCATGGAAATGTACTTTTTTTTTGTTTTACGCCAGATTAAAAAACAGAGTTTTACCAACTGCACTTTATGCAGAAAACAATTAAAAATTGTGTCCATCTAGTTTTTGATCATGTTTACATTAAAACAATCCAAACGACTAAAGGCTTGGTTGCATTGAAAAAAATTCAAGATGATGGATCTTCTAATAATAAACAACTTGATTCTGTCCAAATTCTCAACCACATATTTACGGATTTAAACTGTTTCTCACCACCAAACAATAGAATAAACAAAAGAGCAGTTAAAAAAAAATCTATTGGTTCGTAGAGGAATTCATGTCAATGATTTAACCAGTCGATCCCATTATTCCAACAGTAAGTGAAGATGGTAAAGCTGCTCACCTTTCTTTAAACACTTCATCCAGTATCGCACAATGAGGCTGTGGTACTTCTTGTTTTCTATGCACCACGTTGATAGTCCCTGAATGGAGTCCATCGTGTTTGTGACATTTCGAAACTTCTTGTCCAGAGTCGAGTCCAGAAATGCGCCAGAAGAGGCTCCTGACCCCGCCGCCATGTCCGCAGGAGCTTTTTAAAAATCACGTATCATTCCAAAAAGAAGTTATCTCAAGGGTAGCGCACTTAGCTTAGCATGGTTAGCTTAACGCTGAACACACATTCCGCAGCCGCTCGGCTTCTCGTTTTAATTCACACAGTACTAAACTTTAGTTTAGCCGTTTTTGCTTTGCCTTGCCAGCGTGAGACTGTACACCAGAGATAATTGGTGTTATTATTATTCGTCACTTATGGTTAAAACTTAGCGCCTTACGACATCCTGGTGCGGGAATGAACATTTCCGGTAAACGTAACTTGATTATGGCGCCGCCTAGCGTACCGGAAGGTAATGACTGTCGCCTCCGTCATAGCGCCACCTGCTGACACTGTCACGAACTGTTACTGTTGTGAATAATAAAAAGAAAATATTTAAAAAAAAAATTTTTAGCTAGAATTTCAAAGTAGCAAAAGGTTGGCTAAAATTTAAAAATAAAATGCTAAATAACAGGAGCAGAAAAGTAAACTAAAATGACAAACGTAGATTAGGAAGATAGAAAAATGCCGAGGCAGATTTCAAAGAGAGCAAAGTTTATGGCAAATTCAAGACTTCGTTGAATTTCTATGGAGAAAATGCTTGTTATGGAACTTGAATGTGTTAAAAAGTATAAAAGTTACAAAAATAATAATTGCACCCTATCTCCTGAACCAGATTAACTTTTTGATTAATGAATAACCAAAAAAAAGGCAGAAAATATTAAGTAGTTTTATGGAAAAAAGTGTGCAAAAAAAAAATTATGAATGCAAAATCAGCAGTTACATTTTTTGCAATAATTTATTTTTAATGTAATTTAAAAAACATTTTTCACAAAGGAGTAACAGACTGAATTTTCTAAAGTCTTTAAAAATGCATAAAACACCATGAATCAATGGAAATGGCAGAATCTTTATTTATGGTTTAACAACAGTTAAAAGTGTCAAGCATTTTCTTAAATCTCAAAACAGATAAATCAGGAGTGTGAAATCTCAGTAAGCAAACCACTATAGTTTCATAAATTGTTTATGTATAAAAATATGTCTTTATCAAGATCTCCAGTAAGAACAAGTGTAAAGAAACAAAAAAAATGGCTTAAAACAAAATAAAATAATTTTTACACCCAAACAACTGAAATAGATGCTCTTATTGACTGCAAGACAAAATGAAAACAACAAACGGCTCCAAATGTTTTCCTGTTCTTTACTTTGCATCTCAACGTTAAATAATTCAGGTTTTTTTTTTTTATGGCACACTTGGTTGTTTTCATGATCGTTTACTAAATTGTATTTTAAATAATGTTGTATCATTAAAAGTCAGACAATCTTATTTTTGAGATTATAAATAAGGCTGCCTGGTGACAAACCACCAGGGATGAATGAAAACCAACATGATAAAAACCTCAAGCGCTACTAAATAAAATAAAATTTGAGTTCAGGACTGAAAAATGTTTCCTCATTTCCAGGATTATTGTAATAACTGCTCAACAGAACAGCACTTACAGAGAATCTTAGAAAAGCAGCTCAGTTTGAAATCAGGCACAAAGCTGGTCGTTGTCTTCGCTCTGAAACGTCCTTTGGAACTTTTTAAACCAAATTTTAAAAACCTAAACCATCCCGATGCTCTAATCTGCTCCCTACAAAGTGCCGAAAGAAGTTCGCCCATGAAGTGAATGAACGATGATCACAGACGTGTAACATTTTCCTCGTTGTCATCCAAAGTGCAGATGCATCAATTCAAAGTCACTCCTGCTTAAATATATTAATTTTTTTAACCTAAAAGCACACTGAAATTTTCCATTTTCAAAAAAAAAAAAAAAAGGCGAACAGAAGAACGTTGAAGAAAATTTCCCGCTCCCTCAACAATCGCGTTATTTTCAATCCTTAGTGCAGACACAAAGCTCGTATATGATAAATACCAGTATTCTAAAAATAAACCAACGTGAGGTGAAAACGATATAAAAAAAAAAATGCAAAAACAAGGATTTGTTTGGCACATTTTGGCCGCAGCTACTCTTCTCCATTATACAGTACATGCTACAGTCAGTCATTTTTCATCATCTCATCTTTATAAAAACACGCTTCCTCTGTAAACGTGGCAACAAAAAGTCAAGAAGTGGACAACAACTGTCTGTCAGCAGGTTACATAAGAACCACCGGGACTTGATTTGTCTGGATGGCGAAGCGAACGGGTGCAGGAAGAATCGATTCGGTCCAGGCGCGGCTCCGGGCCACGTTCTTAAAAAAACAAACAAACAAAAAAAAAAACACACAGAACACAAAATACTGGCTTCTGGAGGAAAGACGCTTTAAGACAGCCGCCCTTGTTCTAATTGCCACAACAACTGTTTAACAGACGCAGCGAGCTCTGCATAAAACAATAATAATCCCAAAATAACTGGAAGATAAAACCTATATGCTAAAACACTCGATTTAAATTATATCAAAAGATACTGAACATTGCAACGACGACTTTAACGGATCACGTGGTTTTTTTTCCCCATATCTTTTTATTTACTAAAATAAAAGGTAGACTTCCTACAAACAATCGTTCCTTGTAATCATTTAGTGCAAACTCTCATCCGAACAATGGCTGGAGAGTCGGGGGTTAATCAGTATCTGTTTCTCCTCCTCCTCTGTTTAAATGTGCCTTGCAGGCGTCACAGACCGGCTCAACCTCACTCTCTGATTATGTAATCAGGTCCGCCTCCTGTCTTTACCCTGCCCGACGTGCTCAGCTGCCTCCATGTGATAGCAAGGTCAGGCGCCGGCGGTTAAAGCGAGTCGCTTGTAGTAATGCCGTTGCTTGAAGACACCGAGCAGTCCTGTGTGGCCAGGCTGCTGCGACAGGACGGAGGAATCTCAGCAGGTTTCCGATCCTCGCAGTCTCTCCTGCTGCACAAACGTGGAGACCTACTTAAAGGGCCAGTCCCGTCTGTGACCTGTGGCCCGGGTGCACAGTCGTCCGGGGTCAGTTTGACGGCGTCTCCCTCTGGCGCAGCGGGACTTTCAGGTGACGGAGGAAGACGCGTCGAAGCGGTGTCCAGTGACGCGGCGGCGTGTTGGTGGTGGATGTGCTTGGCTGGGACTCCGTCAGCGAGGTCGGGGGCAGACCAGCTCAGTTTTCTCTTCTGCAGCGTTAACAGAGCCAAAAATAACAACAGCAACAAAAGTATTAGTGGAAATTGCATAACTCTTTTTGGAATTACAAAATTTAAAAAAAAAAACACACAAATTAAATGTTTTCTGCTTTGCTTTATCTTTTTTTATTTGCCAAAGTCTGATAATTCTTCTAAAGAGATCATCATAAAGGCAGCAAAGCTACTATAAATAATAATAATAATGTCATCACAATGTCAGCACTGTATGTTTCCATACAATGGCGAAATTAGTCTCTGCATTTAACCACCAAAAAATAAGAAGCTCACCTTGACGGGAATGTGGAGCTGGTTGTGACGCCTGTGTGGGCCGAGCGTCGGAGCGGTGGTCTGTTCGGACACGTTTGTGGACCTCGTCGTCTCCAGGGGGAACCACGATTTGAGCAGCAGCTCAATCTGCAGCAGACTTTGAAGATATTTCTCTCTACAGCAAATACACAGACGTGTTTACTGCTGTTAAAACCACACACTTATCTTAAGTCAATGTATGAGCATAGAGAAAAAAATGCTGACCACAATACAAAAAAAACAATAATAATAAACAGACAAAAAGGATTTAATTTATACTTTTCTTACCCCATTTCAGGTTTCTGAAGCATCCCAAGAATCCGCTGTAATCTGTCAATGGCAACTGTCTGCTGGAACCTGGTTAGACCTATAAACACCCAATCAAATCAGACACGTGTGGCTTGATTAAACATATCAATAAAGACAATACCACATATTCAACGGCCACATACCTTTCTCAAACCGCCCCGTCTTTAGTCCGTGTAGAAGCTCAAGCAAAGGACAGATAAACCTGCGCAAATCAGCACACTGAAAAACAACAAAGACCAGTTTTTTACCACAAAGCTTAGTTTGCAGGAACAGAGACAAACACCTTAATTTCAGCTGAAGGCTGCTCACTTTCTGAGCGAACGCCAGGTCCCCCGGTGTCGATGAGGAAGTACTGAGGGAAGCAGCTCCAGGTAAACAGGCTGCGTGAGGGCGTCTGTGTTTGTCGGAGCAGAGTTTAGGCTGATGGCCGCTAAACCTCGAATGCAGCTGACGATGTGGGATATGGAGATAATTTTCAGAACGCTGTGCAACTCCATCGTCGGTCGAGGAAGGTCTTCTTAGTCCGGCGTCGCCCTCTCCCTCTGAGAAGACGTCCGCTTCGTCCTCGGTCTGCTCGCTCTCGCTGAGGAGGAAGCTTGAAGTGGAGGGCAGCGAGTCGTAGGACGGCCATTTGGATGATTTGCCCAATGAGGTCATCTGTGCAGATACACACAGTACTCATGAATGTAACCGTTTAACCAAAGTAAACCTAAAAGAAACCATAAACTGTTCTCGTAGGTCAAAATAACAAACAAAACTAAACCACAGTAAGTTTAATCTCTAACAAATACAAGTACACTGGGAGTTTAGAGCGATGAGTAACGTTTGCACCATGTCTGAGCAAGTACCGGTACAATGCAGTCAAGATAAGCTTTGATACAGTATCCTGCTGCAGCCGATTCACCTGATGTGACTAAACGTATAAAAAGCTCCAGGCTCATTTAGTTGAATAAACATTTTGTTAACGCTAAAAATCTAAATTAAAAAAGACGACCACAGAAAATCTGAATCTTTTAATCGTGGTGAAAACATTGGTTATTTTAAAAGCATTTTGGCCATTTCTATAATTCTGAAGTTTAACGATTTCAATTCAAGTTAAAATAGAGTTAAAACGATCTGACGGTTAACTGCGATGGGGGTTACGAACACATTATGCCACTTGGGAATCGGTTTTGTTTGGTGGCTCCTCAGATTGAAGAAGTCCTTTGGATGAAGGATGAAACGTCACAGCAAATAAAAAAAAAACGTCCAGATGATTTGATTGTTGGCTTTTATACCTGGATTATTGAGCATGAACTTTGGAGTTTTGAACCACTTGGTTATGCTTTATATTTTATGTCTACGTGGTAAATGCACCATTTTATTTATAATATTAAAGCTCACTTGAATAAATTGGTATCTGTTACAAACAGCAGACAGTTCTGATTGGTCAGTCCTGATCCAGCAGATCCTCGTTTCCATATCTCTACAGGTGTTTGAAATTACTGTGGAGTACTGTGGAATAAGGATCATTTATTTGCATTTTAACTCTGCAGACCCACAACTTTCCCCTTTTCATGCAAAACAAAACAAAGTCTAAAAACAGACAATATAGTGGGGAAAAAAAATTCAGGAAGTAGTAAAGATTTTAAGCATTCTGCCCCTTTGACTCAAATAGGTGGACCTGCCTACATTACGCACAAAAACAAAGCAATAACTTACAAATTATTGGTAAAAACTTGCTTTTTAAATGGGAGAAGACTGCACGTGGTACATGAAAGATGCACATTTACATTTAAACAAAACAAAAACACAAAAAGTCACAAATTGTTGTCCTGAAAGTTCACCTCGCTGTTACACTTTTGTGTCCATCTGAAGATCATTTCTATTTTATTCTTTATTGTATAACCTAAAATAAAGCCTCTATTCTATTTGACTATCTGGCATTGGAAAAAATATATAATGTTCGTCCACAAGTTTTAAAAACTAATTATTTCGCAACACTGTACTTAAAATAAAACTGTATGAGCATGTGAACTACTCGAAACGGTTTAAAAAAAAAAAAAATAGTGATATTGTAAGAAAACGGAAACAAAAACATATCTTTAAAAATTATCATGGAGTCGTGTGTTTTTATGTTTTAAGTGAGGAGTTCTTACCTTTGTCGACGAAGAATTTGTTTTTCAGAAACGGTCAACCGAGAGGAGCTAACGGTGAACACAAGCTAACCCACCGCTCGTGCCTTCTGCAATGTGTGTTTACCAAGTTGGACTCGGAACACTTACGTACGAGCGAGCGCGAGGGAGCTCAACAGACTCTGCACGTGCGACATGGATGCAGAGACGTGATTGGCCCGGGAGGATCGCGGCTCTGATTGGCTGATCAAGTCGACCAATCGGAAGCGTCCAGAGCAATGGTTGGTATCGAGCCTCCACGGGCTGCACGTGTAAAACAGTGTGGCTCTGAACGGCACGTGGCTGCCAGGATCTGTTATGTGTCATTTTTTTTCTTGGTCATATTTAGCTTATTTTATCTGATTTAATGGAAAAACAGTTTAACACATAAGAACACACGGTTTGCGTTTTTACACTCACTTATTATTTGTCTTTTTCACTAAAATCAGCCACTTGATTTATACATTGGTTGTTAAAAAAAAATAAAAAAAATGGATGCAGGTGACTTGAAAAACACGAGTGGTGGATTTTAATGAAAAAAAATCGAAAAAAGAACAAATAATGATTTTCAGTTTATGGCGAATATTCACAACAATTTTGGTGTTACTCTCAAATTAACACAAGCGGACCATCTGTGTTTTAGGTTTACATGGGAAAAAGTTTTTAATTAATGTAAGAGCACAAACGTAGTAGTATTCCAATCAGATCTAATTTATTGTATCAGGATTATGATCTCACAGACCTATTAAATCCTTCAGACAAGACGGCAGTCATACATAATAGACTGCAGGTGAATAAGTCACATGTGAAACTGTATGTAATTGAAGCAGCAGATTCTGGATACTAGTATAATTCTGGGTGTGGAGAGGAAAGGTTCAAATGGGGTTTGAACAATCAAGAAGAACCACTGGTGTCAGCTGAATTAGCTGAACCGGTCTTTCGACACTCGTTGTATGGTGTTCATATGCAAATCTGTAATATCTGTATATGATTGATTGTTGCGGCCGTCTTGTCACGTGTTTGAGATATTTAGGAACATTCAGTTCAAGATGCTTTTGGTTGGGACACACCAGATACTGTTACTATGCAACATCAACAACGTGGTGCTCTTAGCTGATAAAGAAACCATTATGTTACATTATCCCTCCTGCTGCCCTAGGGTCAAAATGACCCAAGAGGCCTCAGTTTTAAAATTCAGGCCTCATGAGCCATTTTGACTGAAGAGTAGCAGATCAATTTGAGTTTTGTTGTAAAACTTGCAGGCTTTCTTTGTGATTTTGATTTAGATCATATTTGTGTTTTAGGTTCTTTAAGTTCTGTAGAAGAAAAAAATATATATTGTTTTATGTAATCTGTCAGTGTAATTGAATAACATCTTCAACCAGAACAGTATTTCTGTACATATGAGTGCAGAGACTTATTGGGCTTGACTTTTATTTGCGAAGTGCATGATGGAAGGGAGCTATACACATTCACACCATAACCCATCAACCAGTATGACACGACTGTCAACAAGAAAGAGGGCCGGCAATGGAGGAGGGGGCGTGCCAAAGAGACCATCTTAGCACCAACATAACTGGTTTGTTCCACTTTGAAGTAAGCTGGTGAGGGAAGAATCAGTTTTGTGTTGTGTGTTTTCTTGACTGATGAAGCCTTCTGGATCGAAGGTGAAATGTTTCAGCACAAAAAAAGAAACTAACCAGATGACCTGACCGAAAAATGTTGGATTGTATACCTGGATTATTGAGCACGGACTTTGTTGTTATTCACATCATAGTTCATGCTCAATAATCCAAGTTAAAAAAAAAATCCAACAAAGTTATGTCAAGTCATCTGGATAGTTTGTTTTTTTGTTGAAACGTTGTGTCCTTCATCCAAAGGACTTCGTCAGTCCAAGGAGCCACAACAAACTCAGTCCCACAAGCAGCACACTCACAGGTTGGCCCACTGTGAGTGGGAATAATGGGAATAAGGCAAACACACAAGGCATTTTATTCCATTTTGACAAAGTTGCTGAAGAACTAAACTAAACTTAACTTTACAAAGCATGCACGTCAATAAACAATTGCTTTATGGTCAAAAAAAAAAAAAAAAAAGAAACTGTTCAGATGACCTGACTTAACTTTGTTGGATTTTTTTTATCTGGATTAAAACATGAACTTTGATGTTGAACCACTTTGGCATGGTTGCCTCAGAGGAGTCGACGGGGGGAGAGGGTGGGCCCCAGAAACCATGTTACCACCAGTTAACTGGTTGATCCACTATGTGAGTGTGCTGTAGGACTGAGTTTGTTGTGGCTCCTCAGACAGACGAAGTCCTTTGGATTAAGGACGAAACGTTAAAAAGAAACCATCCCATGACCTGACTGTTGGATAAACATCTCCCAGTGTTACTGCATGGCTTCTGCTAAAATATTTCCTCAAAGAAAATTATTTTGTGATTTGTCTGTGGCAGAAACTGTTGGTTCTGTGATTTCCAGCAGTTAGCACGTATGCTATAACCAGACTTTTCACCTCAGTGCTGACAGATTGTTTGATTAGCATCAAACTCAAAAATGCAAAGTATTTAATTCAAACATTTGTTGCTTAAATGCTCAAACTACTTCCTTTTAATATTTTTTCTTCATCAACTAACATTGTATTTTGATTTTCTAATTTTAGATTTTTTTTTTAATAAAGTAGAATATTATGTTTTGTACTAACATTTTTTGAATTTTTTTTTTAAGAAATGGCATTCAGACAATAATTTTCAATACTGCAGTAATGCAAATTTTCTCTTGGGATAAATAGCTGATCTTTCAGTTAATTTTTTTAAAATAATTTTAAAATTTATATATTTTAAGCTAGATATTTACATTTTTGGTGTAAATAAAAAAATAAAAATAGAGATAAAGGCAGCCACTGAGATCTGTCTCCTAGACATAAAATGTGCTTTATTTAATTTCCTAATGATTTAAATGACTACATGTTTATGATGCAACAATAATAATGCTGAATTAGGATGCAGTGTTAATCAAATGTTGCATTTTAACTAGAACTGCAAAATACACATTAATTTTATAACAAAAAGTCGAGATTTCTTTGCCTTATTTTTAATATTTGTAGTTCTGTATTGGAACATCACCAGAACATGAACTTTAACAAACTTGCAAGTTCAAAAAAAGAATTTTTTTTTTATATTTCTTTGAAAAAGACTAATTATTTAGAACTATTTTACCAAGAGATCTTTAGCATGTTGTGAAGTACAGACAGGAAGAAGCTGCATGATGCATTTTGCTAAAAAATAATAAGAAAAAAGATTGCTGACAGTCTTCTTTTATGCAATGCATCTCAAGAGCTGACATGTAGCAACTGACATCTCCTAAAAATAAAAAATTCTGGTCACTCTGAAAGAAAATTTTCTAATGGTGTACCTTTTAAATGTTCAACTTATCAATTATCTTGTAAATATGGCAGAATAAAGTGTAATGATGACCCATCCATAGCATTTATTAAGAATAATGCAAACACATGAGGCATTTTATTCCATTTTGACAAATTTGCTGAAGAACTAAAGCTTACAAAGAATGCACATCAATAAACAATTGCTTTATTTTATGGTCAAAAATGGCAATCTTCCAGCACGTCCGTGCTGTTGTTGGTATTTTCTCAAGTCTTAGTAGAAGAAACAAAGACTCTGTTTTGATGTTGTTTACTTGGTTAGTCCATCATTGATATCCAGTCTTTAACACATTATTTCCTTTTAGCAGCCAAGCCAGGGATCCTCTCTGTTCATCCTGGAAACGAAGGAAATCTTTTTAGCCATCTCCGTGTTGTATATGCGCTTGCATTTCTCAAAGTTTATCCGCTGTCGCTGTCGGAAGGGCTTCTCGAAGTAGCGTTTGCTCCTCGCTGCTGCAAGGATCCCGTCTTGAGACAGGACCCTGGAGAATGTAAAAGGAAATGTGTAAATAGCTTAAAAACACAGAACTTGCAGAAGAGTCTTCTGGATCATTTTTTATGTAAAATTTAAATACATTTTCCTGCAGTGATGAACAGTGATTAATCAACTCCAGTTGTGGATTGGCGAACTAATGTTTTGAAGCATTTTAAATTCACACTGCCCAACAGCTCATCACTCAAAACATGTAAAAATCAATAAATTAAGTTCATTTTATACAAACACCTTGAGGTTTTTATACCCGTTAGGGTTAAGTACACATGTAGACTAAAGTACTAAACCCTTAACTGGAAGTAAATAGGCAGAATATCATGAAATATTCAGAATTCAGATTAGCTCGTAACACTTGTGTCTACTGCGCAGCCGCAGAACTGTGACATTGAGAAGAGTAAAGCTAACGTTAGCTTCTGTGTCCCAGGCTGTAAACTAAACAGACAAAAAAAAAAAAAGTTAAAATCGTGGTTTTAACCTGTTTAAAATCTTGTACGCATTTTCGACGTCTCCATCTTTAACCATCACTGTCCGAGCGATGAAGCGGAGATGCTTCGCCATGATGAAACTGGTGCGTAATTCATTTAAGTCCGGAAGGTTACGCGTAATCTGCAAATGGTTCCGGGGACAAGATTAAACCGACGCTAGGTGGAGCTTCACTCTACAGTTTCGTTAAATCTTCCAACTCATTATTCCACTCTTACTTGAAACAACAACCAGAACAAATTATTAAACTACGACTATGTATTTCTTGAATATATGTTTACTTATAAATATATTGTTATTTAAAATGCTGACAAGTAAAACTACAATTTCTGCATTACACCGAAATGTCAAAATTATGAAGAAGCATCTTTCTTCTAAAAAAAAAAAAAAAAATTACATTTTTGGAAAAGGTGAAACACCCACACCTGCCTACACCCTCATTCGCCCCATTCTGGGCCCCTGAGCAAGGCCCTTAACCCCCACCATTTGCTTCCTAAACAGGTCACTCTTGAAAATGAGTTATCGTAACTCATTGAGACTACCTGTATAAATAAAGGGTAAATAATTTTTTTAAAAAGCTACTAAAATCATGATTAAAAAAAGTAATTACTGTTTTATTACAACTCCTTTTTTTTTTCTTTTTTTTTTTTTTTATCAAAACTTGTAGCGGTAATATAAACTGTATACAATACATTTTTTTAGATGTGTCTTTGAGATTATTTCCTTGATTTATGCAGATTTGACTCATTGAAACGTCTCATGTGCAAGCGAAACCCGTTATACAAAATTAAAACAAGACAATCAATACAACCAATAAAATACATTAAATAGATGAACTGACAGACTGGATCTGTGTTACAAACATTAATTTGAGCAAAAATCCCAGCAGCAAATTGAATTATTAAGGCAGAGCCTGGTGGAAGTTTGGACAAGCTTATTGAAAATTACAGACAAATTACAGTAACTAAAATGTGGGTTGGGTGCCAGTAAAATAATATTTAAGCTATATATTTAACTCCTGCAAAGTGGATCTTAGATATTCATATTTTGTCCAACGTGTCAGATTATTGAACAGGATGTGTTAAACCAAATGTTGCTTCTTTCTCGGTGTGAGCATGTGCGATCACTGCAGGATCAGTGTGGGCTGAGAGCAGGGACTGGCTCTGTAGGGGTAACTGTTACTGGTTTTTGTTGAGTAAATCTGGTTTTCATTGAGTAGCTGTGTCAGCGACTTGTGGTTGCATTTGCCCCCTGGCAACATAATTAGGTCCTTTGAAATTTGAACACATTGGAGTCTAGCGCAAGTAAAATAAAATAAAATAAGCATGTCACTGTGCAAAATCTGTCCAGCCACATCTTTATATCATGAATTAGACGAGTCAGAGTTCTCTGGAGGTCTTTCAGTGTTTTATATTTAACATAATTAGCTTTTTAAAACTTATTTTCAGTTCAATTCAAATAGATTAAAGACTGACTTTGTGTTGAGTCAACACGCAGGTGACAACTTAAAGAACTACATCAACTTGTAGCTTTAACGAGTATAAAATTAGATGACATAAATACTTTTTTAAATAATTTAGATATGCCTAAAATTTCAGAAGCAAACAAAGACGATTTAAATTTAGAAATTACAAAAGAAGAATTAGGTCAAGCCATAGATAATATGAAATCTGGAAAAAAAGCAGGACCGGACGGTCTTCCGATAGATTTATACAAAACTTTTAAAGACAAACTCTTGACCCCACTGTTAGAGATGTTTAAAGAAATTTTCCACACAAACCATCTTCCTCCGTCAATGAATGCTGCTATGATTACTTTTTTGCCGAAGCCAGGTACATCTCCAAATAAATGTGAAAATTTTAGGCCGATTAGTTTACTAAATTCAGATCTGAAAATAATCTCCAAGATGTTAGCACGACGTTTACAAAAGGTTTTACCAAGTACAATTGACCATGATCAAAATGGATTTGTTATGGGGAGGCAAGGCTTTCATAATGTGAGGAGAGTATTAAATATAATTCATTATAACAAAGGCACATCAGACTCAGCTCTCTTATCATTAGACGCTGAAAAGGCGTTCGATAGGGTTCACTGGTCATATCTTTTTCAGGTTCTGGAAAAATTTGACTGTGGAAATAATTTTGTAAAATGGATTAAAATATTATACAATAATCCCTCAGCAGAAATGATAACTAATAGAAATATATCTAAACCAATAAATATCAGAAGGGGCTGCAGACAGGGTTGTCCATTATCTCCTTTGCTGTTCACCCTGGCAATAGAGCCATTTGCTATTGCAGTACGCACACACCCCCATCTTAGTGGAATCACCGTTGGACATACAGAACACAGGATTTCCCTGTTCGCAGATGACGTGATCTTATTCATATCAAAATTAAGCAGATCAATACCAATTATTTTGGAAATAATTAAATTATTTAGTGAGACATCGGGCTATAAAATCAATAAAAACAAGTCTTCTATTCTGTTATTAAATTCAAATGAGAGAGTTAGCCCAACCTCAGATATAACACAATTTAAGATGGTGACGGAATTTAAATATCTGGGAATTCATATTTCCCCAGAACTTAAACAAGTAGTTGAGACCAATTATAAATCCATAATGAACGAAGTTGATAATTCATTTGAAAGATGGATGTCACTGCCAATATCTATGATGGGAAGAATAAATATAATAAAAATGAATGTATTACCAAAGTTGCTTTATATATTTCAGAACATTGCCCTCCCACCTCCTCCTGAATTTTTCTCGCAAATGAGGAGGAAGATGATACATTTCATATGGAACAATAGGAAGTCAAGACTTCGTTTGTCCCTGCTATACCTTCCTTATGATCGTGGAGGATTGAAGTGTCCAAATTTTCATCTATACTATTGTGCTGTGCAGTTGAGGTCTATGATGTTTTATTACACTAATCATTCTCCACATTGGACTGATATGGAAACTCATGGATTAAAATTGACCCTCCCCTCATACTTATATTCAAATTCAATAACTAAACTGCTAAAACAGACTGAGAACCCATTTCTTAAAAATATGATAAGGGTATGGAGAGACGTAAAGAAACTTTTAAATGAACCAATTTGTTTATCTCAGTTTAGTCCAGTGTGGGGTAATCAATCATTTATACCAGGTAGAGCCGATGCAACTTTTAAACTGTGGAAAGATAAAGGACTCCAAACAATTCATAATTTTTATTTACCAGACTCAGACATACTGATGAGCTTTCAGGATCTACAAAATAAGTTTTACTTAGATAAGAAACACTTTTTTAAATATCTTCAACTCAGAAACTTCATAAAAATGAGTCAAAATAATGAGCTGACGAAGCCTGCCAAATCAACTTTAGAAAAAATGTTGACAAAAGACAGTTTGAAAAAAGGTAATATATCTGAGTTTTACCATTCATTAATGTTGCATGTTTCTGAAGGATCTCACGACAGACTTAAGGCTTGGAAGAAAGATTTATTGTTAGAGTTATCTGAGGAAGATTGGCAAGCAGCATGTACTCTGGCTCACACTAGCTCTATCAATACAGGTCTTAAAATGATCCAATTCAAATGGTTAATGCGGGTTTACATAACACCAGTAGATCTTAACAGGTTTAACAGGGAGATACCTGATGTATGTTCAAAATGTACAGAAGACAAAGGGACTCTGGCTCACTGTATGTGGTACTGTAGAAAAATTATGTTGTTTTGGAAAGAGATAAAGGATATAATTGAGGAAATCATCTCCAAACCAATAATACTGGATCCCAAGCTGTTTTTATTTGGACTGTACCCAGAAAAACATCATTACACTAAAAATGAACGGATATTTATTAACTTGAGTTTGCTTAATGGGAAAAGATGTATATCGTTGTTTTGGAAAAAGACTCATGGACCGACTGCCAACCAATGGATCCGACAGATGTTATCTGCTCTACCTCTGGAAAAGATTTCATATGTATTAAAGGGAAAACAGGACTTGTTTGAGTGTGTCTGGAACCCCTTCATTAGGTATGTTAAGGACTTAAACATGTCAGAAGATAGTACAAGCGAATGAAAGAGGTGTGCACTGCAGTTCCTAAATTAAACAAATTCTCTTAAGATATACGTGTATACATTGTTGTATTGACACCTTGATATGGAGAAGATATATGGAGTTTGAAATAGGTTGCAATATGATCAGAATCTTGTGAGGGGCACTTTGTTTTTTGTTTGTTTTGTTTTGGCTTTTAGTATTTTGATTTGAATACATTGCTGTATTATTTTTGTAGAATGTTAGAGTTGTGTGTGTTAAACCTGATAAAATTCAATAAAGATATTTTGGCAAAAAAAAACTTGTAGCTTTGAGTATTTGTCAGTAAAAGCCCAAACTATCGAGAAAAATAAAGTTTGAGACATCTAAACTGGTATTTTTTACACAAATAAGCTGACTTACAATTAAAAAGTTTAACATAGTGCAGGGCATGAGAGAACACCACAGTCAGTAGTGATGGGGGAGCGCCTCAAAATGACAGGAAACAGCTTCGTTTGTACCACAATAAACATCCAAAACTAACTAAATGCTGTTAAAAGCAACAAAACCACCAAATATATAAGAACAGTCATAGAGAGCTGAACAAAACACACCTAAAATCCATCCATCCATTATCTTTTACCCGCTTCTTCCATTTTGGGTCACGGGGGTCGCCGGTGCCCATGTCCAGCCATCACTGTGCGAGAGGCAGGTGACACCATGGACAGATCTCCAGTCCATCACATGGACACAGAGACAAACAAGCCTCGGAGGAAACCCACACATGCACAGAGAGAACATGCAAATTCCACCCAGAAAGGCCCCCGGACCAGGATTTGAACCAGGGACGTGCTAGCTGAGAGGCAACAGCTCTACCAGTTGTGCCACCGTGCTGCCGCACCTAAAATCATTTCATTAAAAAAAAAAATTAAAAAAAAGAACTATATCAAATATTGTTTAGGAAATTTATTGCATGTCTGTTTTTGACCTAAACAGAACATTTGGCAAAATACAATAAATGTATGCATTTATAAATAACTTCTCTTTTGATGTCACATCACTCTTTACGTGCATTCCTGTTGATGA